GTTACCGATGAGCAGCTCTACCAAACGTTTAGCCAGGTGGCTCAGGTCGCTTCAGTAAGAGTCTGTCGGGACTTGGCAACTGGCCGGTCTCTCGGTTATGGCTATGTCAACTATAACAATTCTCGTGATGGTTAGATTTTTACTCAAATTTTTTTAAAACAAAATAAAATTTCGTTCAGTAATTTAATAATTTAACGCTGTTTGTTGGTTAGATTGACTGTGAATTCTTTTGGAATGTGAATGTGGACTATTGATTATTGTGAAATTTTGTTTGTGGTGATTTGAAAATTTTGAGATATAAATGTAAATGTAGATTTTATTGGAATTACTTTAATTGTTAATTGGGTATATAATTCAAGCTAGTTAACTATTGATCCAATTTAACTGCAAAGTTTAAGTGTATAATAGCATCAATGTCATTTTCGTTGATAGTTAATTCTCAATGTTTTTTTTAAGTTTAGATATCGTCAATCCCTATGTTTTGCTTTTAAACTTCCATAATGTATTCTTTAGAATGAGAATGTAAAAATATTTGAAAAATAGCGTCAATCCCTATCTTTGCAAAATATTTGAAAAGCTTTTCAATTCCTATGTTTTGCTTTGAGAGTTTTCTTAATGTATTATTTATGTTTGCAAAATATTTGACACGGCTTTACCCAATGTGCCTCCTATTGTATTCCCAAGAGTGGAATGGATTTTTGTGTAAGAAATTAACTTTAAAAAATGAGGCTATATTATTCATTTCTTTGAAGTTCTTGTTTTAATCAATTATAATTTGGGAGAATGAATTTTTTCCATTGAATTGTGCAGTTAATTAATGTTGCCTTTTTATTATTCTTGTCTACAGCTGCTAGGGCATTGGATCTACTGAATTTCACTCCACTGAATAACAAGCCCATTCGCATCATGTATTCTCAGCGAGACCCTAGTCTTCGTAAGAGTGGTACTGCAAACATATTTATCAAGGTATTAATCTCATTTAGGTCTTTCTTTATTTATTCCCCCCATTTCATCCTCTCATGGCTATTTTTCCATCTGAAATATCAAATAGTAATTCTGATTTGAATTTCTAAGACCTTTTATTACCTTGTTCTTGCCTGTTCAAATCTGACCCCACACACTCCATATTCATCCAAATATATATGCAAAATATCCAATCTTAGACTTCCATCTTTCTATTTGTTGTAATCATTCACATGTAAAGTTGTAAGCATGTTTTCTTCATGTGATATGGATGGCTTCCAAATTCCAATCTTTACCGAACGCTTTGAATTTTGTTTTGATTGCAGAACTTGGACAAGTCTATTGACCACAAAGCTTTACATGATACATTTTCTTCATTTGGCAATATTCTTTCTTGCAAGATAGCTACTGATGGTCTAGGACAGTCTAAAGGCTATGGTTTTGTACAATTTGAAAACGAAGAATCTGCCCAGAATGCAATTGATAAATTAAATGGCATGTTAATTAATGACAAGCAGGTCTTTGTTGGACCTTTTCTTCGCAAGCAGGAAAGAGACAGTGCTTCAGATAAGACCAAGTTCAATAATGTTTATGTGAAAAATCTTTCCGAGTCTACAACAGATGAAGACATAAAAACAATTTTTGGTGAGTATGGTGAAATTACTAGTGCTGTAGTTATGAGGGATCCAGATGGGAAGTCAAAGGGTTTCGGATTTGTCAACTTCGAAAATGCTGATGCTGCTGCTAAAGCTGTTGAAGCTCTTAATGGAAAGAAGTTCAATGAAAAAGAGATATATGTTGGAAAAGCCTTGAAAAAGTCTGAAAGGGAGAATGAGCGGAAGGCCCGATATGAGCAGACGTTAAAAGAAGCTGCTGATAAATTCAAAGGTTTGAATTTATACGTTAAAAACTTAGATGATAGCGTTGGTGATGAAGCATTGAAGGAACTGTTTTCAGAGTTTGGTACCATTACATCGTGCAAGGTTTGTGAAATGATTCTTGGTTGGGTAATTGTTGATAACTAATCTTGTTCTCTTGATATCAATGTTATTGCTCTTACCTCTTTGAAAACTTTGCAGGTTATGCGTGATCCTAGTGGAATTAGTAAGGGCTCTGGGTTTGTCGCCTTTTCAACCCCTGAAGAAGCATCTCGAGCTGTAAGTTTGAATTTGTTTTTCTTTGGGTGTTCATCAAAATATAACGTTACAATCTAGTTAGTAAATTTGTTATGCATCTACAGCTTGCTGAGATGAATGGTAAAATGGTTGCTAGCAAACCACTTTATGTTGCACTTGCGCAAAGGAAAGAAGAGAGAAGAGCAAGGCTTCAGGTAAACTATAAGTATTTATTTGTTGGGCATCTAGTTCTTTTCTATATTGATTATTGTTTTTCAGAGTTTCCTTTGATAGTGTATTGTTTGTATGGTAAAAGGAAATGTGCTTTGTACTTCTGAATTTCATGGGTTAATGTTCTTAATCATTTGGGATTCAAGTGTATTTATGCTGTGTTGCTCCATTTCTTTTTCCTTTCTTGGAGCATCATTGCCAATGAATTTATGCATTGTTTTACATGGTTAGGTTATATGATCTTCTAAGGGCTCTCTTCAAATACATGAAACTCTTTGTAAATTTGAATATAAATCTCAAAACTGTATGATGATTAATTGGTTCTAACAGTTATGTGATTCATAGTGTATTTCAATTAGTTTAATCCCTTTTATATTTTTCGTTTTGTTCAGGCTCAGTTTTCACAAATGAGGCCACTTGCTGTGTCCCCTGTTAGTCCTCGTCTTCCAATGTATCCTTCTGGTGCTCCAGGTCTTGGTCAACAGTTTCTATATGGACAAGCACCTCCGGCTATTATTCCCCCACAAGTAATATATATCTTTACTCTGCATCATCTTAATTTTACATGCTCTGCATAAATTTTTTTTACTCTTTCATCCCCCCTGTAAGCACTTATCTGTTTGGATGTTTGGAGGACTTATTTTTGCTGGACTTCTGAGATATGAACATGATTGTTTCCTTATGTCATATATTCCAGGCTGGTTTTGGCTATCAGCAACAGCTGGTTCCTGGAATGAGGCCTGGTGGCCCTCCTGTGCAAAATTTTTTTGTTCCCATGGTACAGCAAGGTCAGCAGGGGCAGCGACCAGGAGGGCGCCGGGGAGCAGGTCCGGTGCAACAGACTCAGCAACCTGTGCCGTTGATGCAACAGCAGGTAAGCTATATGCATATGTGTGGGAACCTGTTTTTTATGCTTATTCCAACTCATCCTCCTTGTTCCAGATGCTGCCCAGGGGACGTGTCTATCGTTATCCCCCAGGTCGTATGATGCCTGAAGTTCCAATATCAAATGTTCCTGGAGGAATGTTTTCTGCTCCATACGACATGGGTGGAATGCCATTGCGTGATGCTGGTGTTGGGCAGCCTATGCCAGTACCAGCATTGGCTACTGCTCTTGCAAATGCAACACCTGAACATCAAAGGACGGTAAGTCCTTTTGTTGATTTCTTTTACAGTTTGCGGGTTTCTTTTGTTGTTTATATAGTTTCGTGATCTTCATATTTTCATTGCAACTGATGACCAGATGCTTGGTGAAAGCTTATACCCCCTTGTGGAAAGGCTGGAGCGTGATTCTGCAGCCAAGATTACTGGCATGCTTTTGGAAATGGACCAAACTGAGGTTTTGCATCTACTAGAGTCACCAGAAGCTTTGAAGGCTAAGATTGCCGAGGCCATGGAGGTATTGCAGAGTGTCGCTGCTCAGCAACAAGCCAACAGTCCAGCTGACAGATTGGCTTCACTATCGCTGAATGATAACCTTGTTCCTCGAGTCTAAAATGACTGGAATTTTGGTATAGGCATCCTGGCCGATACTTTGATGGACCCTTTATCAACACTGGGACTATATTAGTAGTTTATGAGGGTTGAAGTTTGGAACTATGCTTATGCTTTTGGATAGTGTTTTATTATTAATAGACATGCTAGAACATGGTTTGTTTTTTTTGCGTGGCTTCTCTAGTTTTTATTTACCGGCTTGTTGATATCCGTAGTTTGTTTTATTTCATTGAACCTTGCTTTATATCAATTTATTTTGGTTCTCAATACATCTTTGAAATGCTTTTAAATATTTATGTAAGGTTCAGGTAATAATTTTATGTAAAATTCTGCTTATGGAATGGCGTTGTAGCAAGTCGGCGATGAGGAAGCATCGCAAGCACTATAAAATTTTTACTAGAAAGGCGAACGTTTCATCGTGTGCCACTTTCTAAATAGGTGTTTATGTTGTTTTTACTAGCCACGTAATCAGGGAGGGACGAGTACTCGCTTTTCTGTATTTAGCCACGTGTTCAATTGGTGCATCTCTACCTATCTGAGTAAAAACGTAGGTCTTATCGAGGCTGCATCCAACAAATGTCATCGTAATTTTTCCCGTTCAGCCGTCACTGATTTAACGCATGTCAACCAATGAAAATGCTCCACGTCTCATAATATGCCTTAATTTTCACACAAAAAAATTAAACTGCAAAAACGATAATTATTTGTCGAGAACAGATTTAAATATATTCTTTAACTAAACAAATATAGATTTAAAATAGTAAGAACAAGGATTGAGCGCAGGTTCAAGAGAACAAATCATTGTGGAGGAATACGTACACGTGAATAAGATACTAACACGCACGCTTACCTGAAGGGAGGCTCCATTCAGGTGCACGCTTTCATTTTTATTTTTTTTTATTGTAGATAGGGATGAATGTTTGATTGAATCGAGCGGAGTTAAAAAAATTTGAGTTATTTATGTTGATGAGTCATATTTTATAACTCGGAGTTAACATAAAAAAATTTCGAGTCAAACTTATAAAATTCGAGTTGAATTGAGTTGAGTCTAATCGAATTTTTGAATTTATGTTTAAATATGATTATAAATATTTATAATATAATAATATTGTTTGATTTTAATTTAAATTATTTTTATGATCATATATATATATATATATATAATTTTTCGAAATTTTGTTTAGGAAAAACCCTAAACCGAACCAAATCCAAGTCCCTTCTCGTGTTTTCTTGTTCTGTACAATAGAATTAGGAAAAATCGTTTCCGATTCGGAAAAAAAGGCGGCATTCCCAAAATTTCAAGTTTCCCTTGATAGATGTAGGAGGAGGTTCATCCACAACAAGTTCGTTATTTCTTCTTCCACCTGGTTGTCGATTTTACCCTTCTGACCAGGAGCTTCTAAAACATTATCTGACCGGGAAAAACAGGTGCCTCGCCGCCGACCCTGCTGATGCATACGGATACGATTTGATCAGGAAACTCAATTTGTATGATTACGAACCATCTTATTTGCCGGAAATAGTAAAGGAGGGAGGAGAAGGAGAAGGGTAAAGGGAGGGTTTTGGTGGGAAATAGGAAAATTTAGGGATGTGTTTGATGGAGGAAATGTAGCATTGGGGACTAGAACTAAATTTGTATTTTATGAGATTAATTCAGTCAAGGCTGCTGTTAGGACTCCTTGGATTATGTATGAATATGAACTTCTTCACCATCCCAAGGTAAATTCTTCCACTGTATCAGAGTTTTTATTTGGTAATATGTTGAGGAATTACTTTTTGCTATTGGTGTTTGGTAGGTAGTGATAAATTGTAGCTTACAAGTTTTGTATCTATTGCAGATTTAATTGTCCTCTCCATCCTCCAAAAAAATCATCCCCTTTTTGTTGTTTTAGTTTGTATTTTATTGCATATCACTTAAGTGCTCTAAAGCGCATAGCCCGCCCCCAACCCTTTTTTGATTCTTAAATTGTCTGTGACTTCTTTCACCAGACACTTGCTGTGGGACAAAAGGAATTTTTAAACTAACTTCATGTTTTCCAAAATTTCAGTATGTTAATTGTGCTCCCACTTGGTTGTACGTGGCTCACCATGGTTCAGTAGGTTAATTGTTCATTGTAGTAATCACTTGGGAGTTAGGTCGTATGTTCTGTTGGTGAGTCAAATATTTGCAACAGGATTTGGTTTCTAAAGAGCCACATAAAAATTATTTCATTGTTGTTTTTCTTTGTCAATTGTAGTAGAACCGACCCGTGTAGATTGGAATATTCCGGGCCCTCAATAAAGTAACTTTCTACAAATGTTGTAGTGAAATCTTAGTAAGTTCTTGCTTGTGTATATAGTTTTTCGAAAATATGAGCTTTTCCATAATTTAATAAGCTTGTCTGTGAGATATACTGTGCGGAACATGTGAACTTATGTTTAGATTGGTTTCATTGGTGGGGAGGGTCTGGGACTGTTACCTCCTTGAAAGTGATGTCTCTATCATCTGCAGGCTTCTTTTTGTACTATGCCGAGTATTCTTCAAATCTCGTGCTAGAAATAGTGTATCAGAGAATGTTTTAAGTTGTGCAGAAGATACTGTTTCTGCCATACCTCACATCGGTAATCAGCATGATGGATTTCTTCGGCCTGATACTCTTGAAGTTGAAATCAATGATGATAACTTCAATAAAGAGCTAGACAATCCAATAGCAAGTACACCTGTTTCTGTTGCAAGTTTTAAGTTTCCTTCAAGCATCCCACCAGACCCGCCCAATGATTTGGTAATCTAGATTGAGCATGTTTCTTTCTTTTGTCATGTAAGTTACATTACGGCCAATTTCTTTTTCCATTTAGTACATACTTTTATTGGTGATACCAGACATGGCTTTTGTGTTTTTCCTTTTCTAACAAAGCTTGCATGTATTTCAAATAACTTCAATTTTTCTAATGTATGTACCAATAAGCCCTCAGTTCTTTTCATAACAATAAAATTGCAAAACTTTATATGATGTAAGCCTTTTCGATCTGTTCTGCCAATGGTAATACATATTCATGATTATAGAGTGATTGTTGTCAACACACTTGTTTATTTCTTTAATTCATGTTCGAGCATTAAAAAGAATGTTACTCGTCCAACTTTTGAGTTCTTCTCATTACAAAATGTATAATCCCTGTTCTGCTCATATTTTCTTCTTGTACATGTATAATAAAGTTTTCACCATGTGAAGCCTTTTAACTCCACAAATGTTAAGCATGTCTAAACGTTGATCATATGAAGCATTTATATGTATTCTTTCTAAAGTTTGAACTAATGCTTTTGTGCAATGGCTTTTATACAGGTGGGGTCTTGGGTAACTACTGATGAGTTACTGTCGATTATAGAAGAAGATTTTATAGAGTTGGAAGATCTCAGTTGATGATTGTACATCATATGTACCATAAGGAAAATAGGAGCATTTTACCTTCAGAAATAGCAAGAGAATGATTTATATATTGAAGAATCTAATCGGAAACAATAAATGTTCTTCAAATCTGATGGCAGGTTCACTCACCTCATAAGGTCATTTCTGTTCTCTTTTATCTCAAATCCTTGGATCAATAACATTCATGAACGTTTTAGTAAATATGAGTTGGCTCACCGTGGCCAGTAATTTTACTTCAGAAGAATTTAAGTTATCAAGAAACTATGTATCAGAAGAATCAAATAATCAGGAAATTTTCCTTAAGAAGAATTAATCGTGTGGCACATTTGACGAGTCGGACAAATCAGGTGCTTCCACCTGGCTTCAATATTCTTTCTGTTTCTCTTGTGATGGTGTTTTGCCCACTCACTTCACAGATGCCTTCATGTTGCAATGTTTTTTCTTTTCCTAGCCTGTTCTGTATTGTGTTTCTGAGCTTTCACATTGATGGAGTCCACAAAACTGTATAACAATGCGGATTTCCTTAAAAACATCCGTAAGGCCACCCCTGGGAAAGCCATTCTATCTTTAAACAGTTCGTAACCTACTTTGAAACCTGCTGCTGTGGTAGATAAATTGAACGATTCAATCTAAATAAATTAGGATGAATCTGTTTTGATTTGCCGTACAGCTTTGATAAAATGCTGCTGCTACTGTCATGTGGTCTTCGGGATTGGCATTTGCAAGTTGGAAATCACTGCATTCAAGACATCCACCACCTCTCCCGTATGCTAATGCCTGCTCCTAGGGGAGGGTCACTTGGTCCTTTGTGTAATTTCTAGGTCCAAATAAAAAAAAAGGAAAATAGGAATACAATTGGGTCATAATAGTTCATAAGCTTTACTGATTTTCAATCAGTTGTTGGTTGAATCATTCATTCCCACCACCCACCATTCTGAAACAGTCAAACAGGCTTTAAAGATGAAAAAATGTTATAGGGTTTCAATCTCACATGATTACTAACACCTACACCAATCCTTAACTGGCTTCAGTAGCGGAGCCGCGGTTTGTTCTGAGTGGGCTCATGCCTATCTTAAAATATAAATTTTCCTCGATTAGGTACTTATTTTATTGATGGTGTTAATCTTGAATTTTTTTACCCACCATAAAATGTAAGGTTTTTTAATAGTTATTTATTTTACGGACGGTGCCTACCTTGAAATTTTATTTGTACTCGTTCTATTTAAAATTTTTATGTTATTAATACATGTGTTCACACCCTAAAAAGTATTTCTGGATCCGTCACCGACTGGCTTTACCTTTCCTTCAAAAAAAATTATTACCATCTCATTATTGTAATTACAGTGAAAAAAAAATAAGAATGGCTAACTTATCGCGTAAACACTCACGAAAGAGACAAATGATGAACATACATATATACTCCTAGGTCTAATTCCAATCCCAACTCACAAGCATGTCTCTTTAATAAAAAGTCAAATCTCCTTGCCCTCATTTTATATCTCACGCCCTGTGTTTGTTTCATTTTTCCTTATTGGAATTAGTGCATAATGTCCAATCTCATGGTCATGATTATTCCTAAATATTCGGAGCGTTTACATCATATGCAAGGTGGTAGCTTTTCTCTCTCTCTCTCTCTAGCAAATGCCACGTTTATAATATTCTCTTTGAAAAATGAAGAATAATCAATTCTTATCTAATTGATTAAAAATTCCACTGAAAAATTACAGAATGTGGTTGTATAAGCTGAACCCATATGTCCAAATGGACACATTTGGTAAAATAAAAGTACAAAAATATCGAAGTGAACCAAAGCAATTACCTTTGAATGGTTGGAAAAAATCAAATAAAAAAGGTAGGCAAGCAGTAGACGGTAAGAGGAAAGAGCCCCCCATGATTGAAAGGCGAGGGACGAAATAATAAAAGAAGTTTGAAATGGAGGGATCAAGAAACCTGCATAACTACTTATTGGTAGGGACAGGGAGAGAACTTTTGGGGTCATTGTACTCGCACCTCTTTTAAGCTAAGCAATTATGTTTGCTGTGCATTCACTGCATTTCTCCATTTGATACATTCCACCTACAACTACAGGACACATAATTCAAGTTCTTACCCACATCACAACGTACTGCATAATTTTCTTTCTTCTTCCCAAATCCGACCTACAGTTTTTTTTCTTTAAAAAAGAAAAAGAACTCCATTTGAAAAAAGGCAAAAATAAATAAAGTTATTCAAGTGGGGACAGTTCTCTATAAATACTATATACCAAAGCCACGTTTATATTTAGAATAGTAACACTTTTACCTGTCATGTTAATGTATTAGGAAAAAGCATTACTCTTTTTAATCGGAATATTATTGGGTAAAAAAAGAAAGGTGGACAAGGCTGGCTCCTCATAAAAGGAAAGGGGAGAAAGAGAAATTGCATGTGGAGGATTTAAAGAGTTAAAAAGAACTGCAAAGGAAGGGGCCTAAGGGAGGGGAAGACAGGGCAGCCAGGTACTCGGCGTGAACGAGATTGTAACAAAACAAACAGAGAGGGTAGGGGTGTTCAAATAACCGAACTAATTTGGTTAACCGACCGAACCGAATTAATTTGGTTAATTCGGTTCGGTTACCGAATTAATTCGGTCGGTTAACGGTTAAAAAAAATTTTAGAATTCGGTTAACGGTTAATTCGGTTCGAATTCGGTTAATTAACCGAAATTAAATTTTAAATATTAAATATATTATATATAACATATGGGCTCAGCCCAAACCATTTAAAACAATTAATAATTTAAGATCCAATAACTTTTAAACCTAAATCAATACTAATTATTAAAAAAATTATATAATTTTTTTTATATATATATATATTTAAATTAATTGTAAACTGTTTTTTTAATTAAAAATATTAAAAATATTATATATAACATTTGGGCTAAGCCCAAACAATTTAAAACTCAATTAATAATTTAAGATCCAATAATTTTTAAATCTAAATCAATATTAATTAATTAAAAAATTATCTGAAATTTTATTTTATAATATATATTATAATTAATTATAAACTTTTTTTGAATTAAAAACATTTAATTTTTATATAAATTAGAAAATTTTTAAAAAAAAATCGGTTAATTCGAAAATTAACCGAAATTAATTCGGTTCGGTTAATGTTTGAAAAAAAGTTCGGTTCGGTTAACGGTTAAAGAAAAAAAAAAGTTCGGTTAATTCGATTAAGGGTAGTTCGGTTCGGTCGACCACCGTTTTTAACCGAATGAACACCCCTAAGAGAGGGTTTAGTGTTTGTGGGGCTTTGCTACGGACCGCATTGCAATGGGAGACGTGTCTTAATTACATTATTATTTAAAGAAAAAATAATATCAGTGACAAAAAATACCATATAATATACGATTTTAATTAATTTTTTGGATTTACCAAAATAACCAACTAAATCGCAATGCGATCGATAATTCGCAACGCGATCTCCGGTATCGCAAATCAGTTTCCAGATTCGCAACTCGAACTTCGACTATCGCATTGCGATTTACATATTTGCATTGCGATAGTCGAAGTTCGCGTTGCGATTTTGGACTATCGCAATGCGAATATGTAAATCGCAATGTGAATATGTAAATCGCAATGCGATAATCGGCTATCGCAATGCGAATATGTAAATCGCAATGCGATAGTCGAAGTTCGCATTGCGATAGTCGACTATCGCATTGCGATTTACATATTCGTATTGCGATTTACATATTCGCATTGCGATAGTCCAAGTTCGCATTGTGATAGTCCAATTTCGCATTGCGATAGTCGAAGTTCGCGTTGCGAATCTGGAAACTGATTTGCGATACGGATTGCGTTGAATTATCGATCGCATTACGATTTAGTTGGTCATTTGTGAGGTGAAAAGGGTTGCTTTTTTATTTATTTTTTCATCTAGAGAGAATGGGAAAGAGGGGGGAAAAAAGATATTTTCAAGGTAAAGAGAGATCAAAGATGAAGACATGAAAGCTATTCGGTGAGCGGCCCAACAGAACAGCTTTGCATAGTTATTGTTGTTGTTTGTTTAAGCATGTGTTTTTGCTTTTTGATATTCAATTCATTGTTTGGAAACTGCCCTTATGACTATTACTCCATTTTCTTTCTTATCTGTCTCTCTCTTTCTGCAGGGTTATTTGGTAAATTACAGGTTAATCTATCTCTTTGTTTCTTGTTTTGAGTATTTCGTTTTATCTTTCATAGGTCCTCTCTCTTCCTCCCATTGCTCAAGTTGGGGGTTTCCCTTTGTTTTATTCTTCCTCTCTTTCCTTTCTTGAGAAGGGAGAGGAGAATAGCTTTAAGATAGCCTTTTTTTTATCCTCCTCCCTCTCATCTTTGGTTTTCTTGTTTAGATTATTTTAGATCGAGCAAGGCCTTTCATTCCTACACGTTAGGTAAGCTCTTTGGTTGTATTTTCCATGTTCTTTATCCTTCTGCTCGATCGGTTGATGATCAGATGAGATATGGTATCTGGGTTTTTTTCCTGTTCAATTCATTGGTCTTGGCTTAAATGGTGCCTTTTCCCCCAAAGTTTTTATTTTTATGCCTTCGTTTTTT